TTTTTATCTTATCCTCATCTGAGCTGCAGTTATTGGTTGTGTAGGCATAGGCGACGAGGCAGCGATTTCTGAATGTCCCGTTTGGTCAGACAGTGCAAAAGTAATCATCTAAGGAGAATCGATCTAAGAGTGCTAGTTCTTTCCTAGGATTCTGAGCTAAGGCTACATCAGCAGGGCTATGGGATGGAGCAGTATTGCTTTCAGATACGTGAAGCGTAAATCCAAAAGGTTTTTCATTTGGAAAAGTGAAGGTGCACTATTGATTTTCCTCACATGCCGTATTCTCATTTTCCGATACGTAACATGCATCGATGGTACGACATTCCATAGTCGTATCTAGGGAAACCTGTTGTCCAATTGCATTCAATTCTGAAAAATTAAAGACTTCAATCGTTTTCATTAGCGGCCTGAGGTGATAGAGGAACTGGAAAATTTTGGTCACGGAGTCGAGATGATGATTATAAAGAATAGGGAGGATCTGAATCTGACTAGCGGATATAACTCCCAGTTGCCCACATAATAGAGAAGTATATCCTGAGAAACCTAAAAAAGAAGTTGGATTAGTGTTGGCTTGGAAGCGTAACCTCAGGGCCCAAGGGATAACTGCTAGAGGGCGGTCATGGATGGCCTTTTAAACTGTAACATGGAATTTGTAGGGTTAATGCGTTTCGACAAATTGTGAAAAACAGAGCTTAGACTAAGACGTTATTTAAAATAAACCACAAACGTAAGGAGCGAGGGTGGAGTGTCCGACCAGCACTCATGACGGTTGGGCGATAACGTATGACAATAAATTATTATTATTACTGTTGGCTGCGGTGCAGAACCCTTCGTTTGCTTACGGCTCCTTACGACATACAAGACTGTAACTAATCAGTGATGTTGATGTTACATTTTCAGTTCAACCACGTCTACGACTCATGTCCGTAACCTTTGTTGGTTACAAGCAGATTTGGACAATTATGTTGATAAATCAGGTCTTCAGCATGCACTCTAAATATCAAGACCATTGAAAAATTGAATGCTGAGTGTGGTCGATCAAGCGGAACCTAAAGGACTCAATGACATGAATCTTAGACTGCCTAATAGACCATCAAGTTTCATTTCAAGTCCTTTTCAGTGTGTTTTGACCAAAACAAAACATAAGGAAGATTACGGAGAAGACTAGAAGAACCACAGAGTATGTCCTCTTTTCTTAATACGTACGGGATAGGAATCTGAGAACTGACGGTTTTGTGCTTACCTACAGCGGATTTTAGGATTTGGTAATAGATTATTCTCAGGGAGTGTTTTAGGCACCTATATAAATGTGCGTTTAATTTTGAGCCTACCGAACAAAACGATGTGATTGAAAAACGATTTGATCTCAGAATAAACTGATATCCTAAATATTTCAGGAATATGGCTAACTTCGGAAGTTCAAGGCAGTGAAATTTAACTGCTGGGTTTCCTGCTGTGCAGAGTCGATGGACTGAGCCATTAGCGTGGTGAAGTACCCTTTAAACAAAAAGTACCTAGGGCATATGACAGTGACTTATGGCTCAGAGGGATGTGAATTAGCGCGATTCCGGCTTAAATACTCATGGCAATAATACGTTAAATTAGTTCTTACACGCTTTTGACTGTTACAGACAAGTGAGCGTAGACCTCCAATCATCATTCTACAACCTTTTCAATGTTGGTCTCTCCTTTCCACTTGTTACAGTTGCTATTCATTCTTTTTGTGTCTCCTACCAATTTTTATTTCAATATGTTGTTTTATCTGCCTCTTTCTCTTTGGCCTTGTGGAGTCCAAGTGAGAGTTTGTTTGTGATTCAGTATGATGATTTCCGTAATGAGTGTCCTTTTCAGCATCAACTCCACTTCCTGATTTATTCCTCAAAGCATGTTGTTGCTTACGATGCCTGACAAACGGATCCGACGTTTCTGCCTAGACAACAGTTATTAAGCATTTTATCAAATAGATGATGACTTTCGTTGTTTTCCAAGTTTCTGCTCAATAAAGTAGAACTGTCTGAATGTGTTATGTTGAAAATGCTGATTTGGTTGTTGGTTGATAGTTGTTTTGAGTTACAGATTTCCTTCAGTTGTAGAAATGCTGCAGTTGCTTTGAAGTTCATATACTGACATCTGCAACATGTCAATCCTGCCCACTAACGATGCCTCCTAGATATGTAGAGATTTCTACACTCTCCAAAGTTTCTCTGCCTGGTGTGATTTGGTATATATATATATATATATATATATATATATATATATAATGTTCTCTCTGTAAACCGAGAAGTTTAGATGTACGATTATTTAAGAGATCGTCAGGTTACCAACTGTTTCAAACCATGATATATCCAACTTCAGTTCAGTACATTAAAAATCCTACTAGATTTAAACTACAAAACTCCTACGTCTTGGACTTAGTTTCAATGTACACTGATAATGTCTGTTATGTGGAATCCACTCTACCTAAAGAAAGTATCAACCATGAGGCCACCATATTCAAGTTCATTGCTAATATGGTCTGTCAAGCAGATGAGCCGGTCAGTCCTGACTCATGAAAGAAGAAGAAGAAACATCGACTCATTTCCTGCAGTTATACAACCAGGTTACCAGACTATTTATTACTTAAACAGTTCCAAAGATGGAAAAATACCGTGGACTCGACGTCTACCTGGACAGAGGAAAAATGTTTCAGCGTCGTCATCAAACTTGACACAGCGATTCGGTGGAACGGCAGAAGTTGAATCCAAATATATATATCAGTTGAAGTGCACTGCAGTCTGGTTCAAGCGTTCTGGTTGACTATTTCAACACATATCAATATGGCCGAGTGTGACTACATTGACTACAATGAGGATACAATGACCAACTGATACAGTTTAGTTGAAGGGTTGTTGCATGTGGTCCAGTCTCACAATAATCCACCAATATTAGCAAGCCACCATCATCAGACCAAGGCTCACCGACGCGAAGTTGCAGCTAAGAAGTTCAAAGCCCTAAGGAATTTATGATTAATATTTTCTAGTTGCATACCAGCATTTCGACAGTGGTGTATGGAACCTTGGTCAGATGCAAACTTGAAAACTAAGTTCAGGCTACAAGTAGATGTTTAAAAGATGACTCATATACCTCCGAAAATGTGCAAAGGGCAGCTAATGGAGCGATTGCAGAACTCTGCGGTTTATCATCAAAAGTTAGAACCCCTTGTCTTAGCCCTACAGATGTTTATGAAGTGATTTCATTTTGATACAAAAAATATCAAGAAGACATTTTGGACAAGTATGTTTCATGGGACATACATATCTGAAATCTGAATCTTTTTAATCGAAATTGTGCATCGAAGATTGAGGTCGTTTATAAAGGCTGGTACCATGGATTCAGATTTAGGTGAGAATTCAAATTTGAGTTCAGATTTGCTGGTAGATGGCAGGCCAGTGGACCATGTCACTCATTTTCAAGTAGGTTTTTAAACATATAAAATGAGAGTCAAGTGAACGTGCTTCGATTAATAGGCTCAGTAGTTGCTGACTAAGTGTGAAAACATTTATTTCGATGGTATTTTGTTCATCCCAGGCTCGTGCATGTGCCTGCTATATTTTCTTAGTTTTATTTTTTGTCAGTAAAAGCTGGGGTTATATGGGTCCAAAATAATTTTCCGGTATTATATGCGCCAGAAAAATGAAAGCATCGGAACCGCGGTCTGAATATGTGCACATGTTCAGCCGGAATACCTTAAGGTTAAAGTTTGAAATGCAAGCTGTAACAGTAGACTGGTGATGTTATGCATAAAGTACGTGTGTCAAACATTAGACCCGCTATCATTTTTGACAATGGAGAAATATTGTATTTCGGCAAAGGGATTCCAGGGTATTGCTACGTCATGAGAAATCAAACTATTTAGTTTAGATATTTGGCTTATTTGCTATGAAGAAGTGACTTGTATTACACGTTACGAAAATTCAGGAACACGAGTTCCTGCTCACTGTAATATCAAAAGTTATAAAATTAGATTGCTGTCTAATCTAGAGGTTTTATTCACCAAACGATCCGATTTTGTTACTCCATAACAGTGAGTTACATTTGCTATTCTTTTTGAGTATATGTGGTTGGATGTTCATGTAACTAGTTTCGAATAAGATGTTCGTCAGTTGAAAATAACCACTTGATGGTGAAACTCGAGACTCGAGTTCTGGTGTCGTTCGCAATTTCAGCTACTGTTATTATAGCAAAAACCTGTATTAATATGCGGATGCTTTGTGTGTCTTATACCGCTCATAGATTTTACAACCCATGTTAACTCACTTGAGAGGACCCGATGAACGCACTTTGACAACTTATTATTTGTTGCATAGCAGTATCGTGGCTAAATAAAACCAATCGATTGATATAAAACGGTGGGTGATGATGTTTCATATAATGGGTTGAAACTAATGAGTGTCAAGTGTATCTTGTGTCGCTAATCATGCAGCATCCTAACTTTGTGTGCTCTCCTTTGAGTTCTTTTAGGAATTATTTTCACGACGTTTTTCTTGTTGATCCTTGACTAGAGTAACCTGTATCGTTTACGTCAAGACTTACTCTGTTACAACTGATCACCTCCAAGACACTGATTAACGTGAGTTCGGTAATTTATTGCTCGTGAGACGAACATGTCACAGCTTTTCATTTCAAGATCAGCAATGCAAGATCGAATTGTCTACAGTTTAATCTAAACTCTCAAGCTCACTAAACACTTGAGCATTTCAGGACCATAGCTTTCTCAATATGCGTAACTTTTTAAAGGCATAAGGATTAAATCGCACCCATGTAGATGGTTAGGTGATACCGTCACTTGATTAGTTCTGTATTAATCTGATGTAAATCATAACGCTACAGTCGTTTAATAATAGGAAATGAATGCGATTAGAAGAATAAACCATCTTTACTCTTGTGCAGAAGATACTTCACATAGTTTGGAAGTTATTCCGCAGTTATATTTTGTGAATCTTTAGCGCTGTCGGAAACATCTCGAATGGTTGAAGCAGAACGTATGACATTACAAGCTGAAATGGATTGCCGTCTTTCAGATTCGGAACGAAATTATAATTCAGCATTGGTAGAGTTAGAAAACGATCGATACGATCTAATGCAACAACTTGATGAAATGAAATTGATTAATCACGAATCGAGAAATGAAATATTTTCAGTTCGACAAAAGCTTCAAGCTACAGTATGTCAATAATTTAATGTTGTAAACACGAAATTTGATATATGAAGTTATCAATAATTGAATCATACTGCATTACATTTGGTATAATAATTTTGACTACTTAAGTTGATTTTCGGAATGTGATCCACCAAGACCATTATTGTTATCTGTCCTAAGCGAGTGGACAAATAGTATTTCGACTTCGAAAGATGTGAAATTCATTGTGTCTTATCGTTGATAAGAGGTGTGATATAATTACGTAAAGTAGTTATTGATATGTTTGCTAGTAAAGGTTGTTAGGTTAAGGTATACAGTTTTTCTTAGGACAAATTGAATTATCCAGTTTCGTTTTCAGTATTGATTACTTGAGGCAGATCTCATTTCTTGCTACCTTATGTGGGATAAAAGTGATGTGTATGCCTACTGATATGTAATACGCGAACGATTGGTGAGAAATTTCATCAATAACCATCAAAAGATAACTCAAAACTCATGAGATTTTCTTGCATTGTATATATAACTTCATTGGCCGTAAATTAGGCTTTCAGCTCTACACAGGGATCCAACTGCAGTTTGTAGAGAAATAAAATTCCATAACAAAATGTAAACATGTTTGTTACTAATCAAAATTGCATTAAATGTTAGTGGGAAGCAAAACATTTGACAGACTGCAGACAACACAATTTCATATCTGATGCACTGATAAAAAAGATTTTAAATATCCTACAATGAATGTGTTGTTGCGTGTGCCGAAATTACTAAATTTATTTGTTGTCTTGATTGTATTGTCTATCGAATGTGACTACTGATAATAATTTGAAATGGACAAATCTTCACAAGGCGACCGAAGACAAGATACAGATTCATGTTTCAGACTAGAGCCATAGTAGTTACATTCAGTAGACAATAAATAGAATTAGGAGAATAAACAAATATCCGTTAATCTACTCCCTCTTATAAAGGACGAGTTAGTGTTTTTCTTTCTACAAACCTTATTTTGTGTTGTCTCAGTAATTTAAATTTCCATGGCTAGTTTCAACCACCATTTCTTGCCAATCGTGGAACAATAGAAACTTGCTTGTATTTTAGTAGACCTGACTGGCGATTGTAGTCATTTGGTGTATTATTTCAGATGGTGGTTTTAATTGTCGCCCTAAATTATAATGTAAGATTATTCAAGGTTATTTGTCATTTTGCGGAAAAACGGGAGATTATTTATCAGGATAGCTTACATAGTCTGTCGACATACATTTATAAAACATGTCCATTAGTTTTGTGTCTTCTCTCTAAAGTTTATTTACCGGAAATGCCACGTTCTTCTTTGCGCAATGTGTAGCTTATGATTCGTTGGAATTTCTTATTACTCAACTCATTTACCAGGTACAGTTTTCAGTTAATAATCGATGTTCTTGGATGAATAATGATTTATCATTGGACCGTGATATGAAACATGTTGAACAAAAGATGGAGAATGAATTGAACGGTATGAGTACATAGTTTTTTGATTGTAGTATCATGATTTTCTGTCTTAATTGAGCGACTAGTTGACATAATTTTCATTTGTGTCGTTGACAGAATTTGGTGGCATATTATGTGAATCTTTCATTGTCTTTCAGCGTAACATTATCAGATCCACATTAGTAGGCTTTATATCATCCTGCATTTAAGCTGCCTACTTTCCATATCGAGTAGAACAAGTGTTGCAGCGATTATAGGTCCGTATAGTCATCACGATAAGCTAGCTCGTCGAAATAGCAGCTACGGTCGGGACTAGCCAATGCACGGACGACGTTAGAGTGGACATTATGCAACAAGGCCGGGATGACCTGCGGCTCTATGCTTGAATGCCGGTAAAATAGTAACCTGCCAAACCGAAGAGAATGAACGAAAATAATGGTCATTAGTCTTAGATTCGTTACTGTTTCAAACATACCTATATACATACACAAATGGATCATGTTGCATCAATTAATAAAAATTAACAATGATACGTGAGTGAGCCAGAAGTGGCTGTGAATAGGGCAGATAGTAAATAATAAATTCCCAACAAAATAGGAACCGTGTATCGTAAGATAATAATTTGTGGTTTAATAGAAAGCTTATAATTAGAAGAATATATTTACCTGCTCAATCAGCTAATAAACACTTAAACAATTAGATTCGTATGCATCAATAATCCATAAATCGGTTGCCCAAGTTACAACTTATGCTATACTTCATCCGGATGAAACATGTTCGTACCATTCAACCTACAGTTAGTCAGTTGTGAGCAGCGTCATACTGTCTGGCATATATGGCATGTAATAGTCGTGATTGCTCTGACTCCTATCAGCATTTTGAGATGAAACTATCAAAATGTATGCCGAATCAGTAAGACTCATAATGATATTAGTAGTTATGAAAAAGATTATATATGCAAAATATAATTAAACAAGAAAAGGATACAAATTTTGTGGAATAAAAAAGTGTGAGATAATACTCAAAGTTTATGATCTTCGGGAATTCAGAGAATGAAATCATTTGGTTTATTGAAGCTAATTCTAAGCCATATTAAATCCAGTCATTGGTTACAATGATCACATGAACCAAATATTCACTTCCATGCAACTATGATAATCTAAAGTGTCTTAATATGATGAAATCTAAACGTTTTTTTTCTCACAGTTTTTGTAAATAACATGTATATGAGTAGCCTTATATTTTTGATTGCTCGCTTATTTTTATCTAATAAAACAATTTCCATATATTGTGAATTATTCACATTACGACAGATAATTAATTGCCAAGAGAAATAGTAATGGAATTGATTTTTCAATCAACATATGTTTATACATGGTGAATGAAATGGAATAAGATTTAATTTGTTTGTTATAGTGAACTTCTAGCTTCATTGCATGTTATTACTTTTATTGTTTGAAGTGGATTGTTTAATCGTGAAGCTTTCATTGTGCTTCTAGACACTATTACCATGTCTATGTAAATTGATTTCTGAGTATATTATTAGTTTCGGTCACTTGACTAATGCTTATTCCTGAGTTTTGTTTGTAACAAAGTCATGGGGAAATATTTCCTACTTTCTTTATAGAAAAGCAATATGTGCCGCTAATGATTTGATGAATACTGATGTCGTATTTATGTTATAAATGTGTTTGGAAACATTTAAAAGGGAATGTGTTGCTTGGGTGTCTTCTGGGTCACTTGAGAGTGGTCCAGCAACATCATTCCGTAATGGTCCAGGCTAAGCAATCAGTTAACTTGACTAGTTCAATACACAGAATGCAGTAGCTTGTGTTGAGTCATTAATCAGTGAAATGTTTCTGCGTTCGACATCCAAACTACTTCGTTTGTTTTCTATTCTGCATAGTGGTAATGTCTCCTGAATTTATTTTATTCACTAAACATCTGTGATTTGTACTAACTAGTGTGTCGAGCGTACATGGCTTGTCCTGTCTTTTGGACAAACGAATCTATTTATTCTTCCTGAGGCAATATTCGCTGGTATTCTGCCCTATCGACTATTCCCTTGCAACCTTATCTGTTTTTGCATGAGTGCGTGTGTGCATTGCTTCCTTTGCTTACGACTTGTGAAGCTTATTTCTGTCTGATTATAAATAGTTAGTGATGTGTCATGGAATGGAGTTGTCCCACTCTCGTTCTCCACTTGACTAGGCTTTGCTTTTATTCTTCCCATTATTGTGTTTATTAGCATACCGAATGTATGGAATAAATTCATCCGAAATAGGGCGTAGTTAGATTTCGATTGCCACCGTCACACAAACTATGTTTGCCTTTGCGGAAGTTGAAGTGAAGATTTAATTCATAGCATATTCCAATATCTGTACGAATTGTAATCAGATCGCGGGCCACTAAAAACTCATAGTGACAGTGAAGAGTTTATGTTTATCGCCTACAATTATTTACAATTCCCATCTACTAATTTACAGTTAGTTTATATGTAGCTTATTGATTGTAACCAGTTTGAAGTTCGTAAATTCCATGTTCGAGACTGAACAATAAAGTTTAGGACAGTTTAACTTGCTTGATTTATATACATCTCTTGTTCTTCTGTTACGATCGAACAGTTCCTTTTGTACCCGCATGTTTGATTTTGATTTATTCTCACCATTTCTACTCTAATTTTGTTCATTCGGTAAATTCGGTAATCCAGAATATCATGGAATCTTTCACCTGTTGGTAATCAACAGAAATGTACTTCTCAATCTGTACTTTTGTTTGTGTTGCTTATACATTTCTCATCTACTTTCTCTTTAGTTCAACCTCCTAATAGTTACTTGAGTGAATGTGATCGTTTACTGGTTGCCAATATTATATCCGACACAAAACATTTAGATGATTTAAAAACAGATTGCAAGTCTTTGATGTGTAAGTTGGTTTTTGTGTTTTTACCGGTAGATATTTTCTTTGGACGATTATTAACTATTACTTTTTAAATGTAACAATACAGTACCGAATTGATTGATCACAGAAAACAGTTGTTGACCCAATCAATCAATAGCGACGTAGAACTTCGTGCGTAAGTACATCAGTTCGTGTTGCCATACCACATTAGCATAGAGATGCAATTGTCACTTCGAATCCCATAGTAGTAGAGATAGTAAACGTATTATCAGTAATCGAAAAGATTAGGGTTCGACGATATCATTCAAGAATTAGAATCTAGTGAAATAAATTCGAAGAGAAAAAGGAATTCAGAAGTTAAGGATTTGAGAGAACACACAGAATGAATACACCTGCGCTATTGCAAACGGTTACACTCCATGTCATTCAGGGTCTCTAACCATCGTCTCACATGCTCCAACCATGTAGTCGACACCTACCAACATCACTCAGTCCACATGGATTTCTGCCATGTTTTGGTCTGGTCGCCCCTAACATTCTTCCAACCAATCGCAAACACATAGCATACCTAACACATGTCACAACCACCTCAACTGATTAAGTTTCACTACTTCATCTGTTGACCTGACATCCTTACTGAGCACCCGTTTCCTAACGACAGCATTGCTTACTCGGTTATCGCACGATAAGCGAGCAATGCTTCGGAGGTATCTATGATCAAAAACCAGCAACCTGCGAATATTCTCTACTCTTGCTGGCTGTGTTTCACATACATCAAGTAGAAAGGAGTGAACTACTGCGCACTACACTCATCCTTTAATTAACAAACGGATCTCTCGCCTTTGCCATAAGTGACGTTGGTTGGCAAAAGCCAATCGAGCTTTCTGTATCAGTGCTGAGATCTCGTCAATCAGTCACCAGATCATCAGCATTAATGAGACTCGCATCCTGAAGTGGCATGAACTATTGCTTAAATTGGTCAGAAGACTCTGAATTTTGTAGATGTTTTCACCAAATATAACTATTTCATCGGTATATTCTAAGTCAACAAGCGATTTCCCTGGTGGAAGATCCACTTCTGAGAATTCAGACGAAGATAATGTATTATCTAAGAGCGTGTCTATGACAAAATTAAACAAGAATGGAGAAGATTAATATTCGTGACGGACAGCACTTGAAGTAGAGAACTCCGATGGCAGTTCGCCATAATCCCTAACATGACCTGTAGTGTCCTAGTAGAGAGCTTGTGTAAGGTTAATGTACTTCTGTGGTACACCTTTCAACGACAGACACTTCCACAGGACCTCACGATCGACAGAGTCGAATGCCGCTGTAAAGTTCAGGGAGACAGCTATCGTCAGACGCCAAAATGTGTGTCTGTATTCCGGGAGCTTTAGTAGTGTGAAGATGTGGTCTATACAGCCATGTCCAGATCGAAAACCAGCCTGGTTTTCTCTAGTCTGCTCTTCACGAGCTCTAGTTAGGCGTCTAAGTAGAATCGAGGCCAATAATTTGGACACTATATTTGTGAAACTGATTCCACTTTGATTGTCACAAGAGGACTTTTGTCGTTTCTTACAGATTGGGACAATCAGGGGTGCTCGGGTGGGATTTCGTCCAGTTCCCAGACTCTACCTAACTTACTTCACTTACGCCTGTTACCCCCTATGGAGCATAGGCCGCCCACCAGTTTTCTCCAACTAACTCTGTCCTGGGCCTCCCTCTCCAATTCTGCCCAATGTTTGTTCATTCTTCTCATGTCTTTCTCTATTTCTCGGCGTAGTGTGTTCCTTGGCCTTCCTCTTTTCCTTTTGCCTTGAGGGTTCCAGGTAAGGGCTTGTCTCGTGACGCAGTTGGGTGCTTTTCGTAGTGTGTGTCCTATCCACCACTTCTAGAGCTTCTTCCTGATTTCCTCCACCACTGGAATCTGGTTTGTTCTCTCCCACAGTTCGTTGTTGCTGATGCTGTCTGGCCAACGAATACGAAGTATTTTGCGTAGACAACTGTTAATAAACACTTGTATCTTCGTAGTTCTCCAAGTTTCCGCTCCATACAGTAGAACTGTCTTGACACTTTACAACTTATGCAAGCTAAATTAGACATTATGAACAGTATGCTAAAAACATATAAATTATGGATTTGTAGTGAGTGTAAATCATTTCAAAATTTGATTGACATGAGAATGGTAATATGTACTAGGATTAGATAAGACTTCACCCACCAATGAATCTGGTATACTTACTCCAAATGGAATATGATTTGGCTATTGAAAATCGTGATTTTGGTTTTGGTTGAAAGTTGTTCGGTCAAGGAGATAAGATAGTTATTAAGATATGTGGAAAGGATTTGATTGTGATCGATTTGGTCTCGTGTGCTTTAATGGGTTAGTGTGTGGATGTAACTTCCCGTGCGCCCACAACGTGGAAGGGTTCTGGTTGTCAGAAGAGGCACCGGCTTCGTGACTTCCCAAGGAACTCGTCTTTCATCATGAGACGTCATAACTCTTCAAAATGAAGACCTCCTTACTCCCAGTGCAGAGTTTATATGGACTGAATTATTTTTTATTGTTAGCGTTATTTAGCATGTTTGTTTATTGCGGGATGTGGTCGCCAACCCCAAGTCCAACCCTCCTCCTTTATCCGGGCTTTGGACCGGCAGTAGCCCTGACGGGTTTACAGACGGAGTTACAGTTGTTGTTTGCTTGTTGCGATACATTTTGTCTAGTTAGTGCAAAGAGAGGGAATTATGACTATTGAATTGTACTTTTTTAGGCCCTCATAGGTGCTTTAGTGTCGAAACTAAGTTTCTTAATTTTATAGATTAAATCTTTTCCTTTGAAATCATGAAAAATGCCACTGATTGAAGATTATGTATCCATATCTTATCTAAAGAAATGAATAATCTTCTCAGATATTCTGATTCAAACTGATTATAATTTAATTATAGTGTTAAGGTTTTCGTTACAGTCAGTCTGTATGATTGGATAACCTTCTTCAGTGTAATGATACATATAATCTTCGCTTTCTCGTACAAGAGATAGTTTTCACAGGTGAAAGTTATTCAGTATTTATATCTTATGCATCTCTTTTAGCACTGTTGGAAACATCTCGAATGTTTGAAGCAGAACGTATTAAATTACAAGCTGAAATGGATCGTCGTCTTTCAGAATCAGAAAGAAATTATAATTCAGCATTGGTAGAGTTAGAAAACGATCGATACGATCTAATGCAACAACTTGATGAAATGAAATTGATTAATCACGAATCGAGAAATGAAATATTTTCAGTTCGACAAAAGCTTCAAGCTACAGTATGTCAATAATTTAATGTTGTAAACACGAAATTTGATATATGAAGTTATCAATAATTGAATCATACTGCATTACATTTGGTATAATAATTTTGACTACTTAAGTTGATTTTCGGAATGTGATCCACCAAGACCATTATTGTTATCTGTACTAATCAAATGAACAAAGTTAATTTACATTTCCTTATTTGAAAATTCTGCAAAAGGAGTACACTATTTGAATTCCTATCAGCTCATGGTTACCTCAGTCCAAATCTGCTGTATAACTTTAACACAAAGTAAATCACGCGATAATAATGGTGAACGCTTTCTTCCGAGGTTGATCTATATACAGTAACATGAAGGGAATTATGGGGTACTCATGAACATTGGCATACGGACAGTTCCAGATACAGAAGCTTAATATTTATATATCCAGTTAGAAGCGTTGCACATTATTTTGGTTCAATAGGTCTTCATCAGCAGAGGTGCTTGGGGGATGTGCTAGGTTTAACTCACCACTGTCTTCCTCGACGAGCACTACTGTCTAACTTTTGTGTCGGTCGAAAGTGAAGTAGAGTAAACCCATACAAAACTTTGAATCAGTTCGCGAAATTAGTGACCACTGAGCTAAACGATGTAGGTAACTTGTTAGGGTCTGCTCAGTTATCATTACAAGCGGTTCAAGAATCTGAATGAAAATGATCAGAATCCTTTGCAATGGAATAAAGGTATTCATTGTTTACCTTCCTTTCAAACCCATCTTCCAAAATTTTGTGTTTTTTTGTAAACTTAATCTTCCCTTCTGCTATTGATACTGATACTACTTCTATTTCTCTGGAATATGTCTTGATGATTGTATTGGTCTGCGCTGATGCGTTCTGGCAATGTGAACTGATACACACTCATGGTACACAACTGACTGACTAGCCACTAGTTTTGTATTCGATTTCAAATCAGTAATATGTTTACATCAATAATTCGGTGTTGTGAATATCCTTCATTCAACATTCCATTGCTGTAATCTATCGGTCAGCATTCTTCCCTATCATGTTAACAGTCGAAACTTTCGCTTGTTTATGCTCAATAAAATATCTCCCTAACACAATCTAACTTGAAAAAAATGGTGTTTTGGATCAATTCTAATTTTACGCTCGTTCCTCAGTTTATGGTGTAGCACAGTGGTTATTTAGAACTTTATTAAACCAACGCACAACCACTTTTTATGCGTTTTTGGTTATTTCTTTCAATTTCTGTGTAGGAGAAATTTCTCAATGAGCAAATGGAAGAAAGAGAATTAGAACGAGAAGAATTCTGTATCGAATTAAATCGTCTGAAAAGTGAACTTGAAACGAGAAAGTTAGTTTCGTTTACAGTATATCATGTTATTTTATGTAATGGAAGAGTTGTCAATTGAGTAAATCAATCAATGATAGGTGTATTGGTTTAGTTCGTGTTTTACTTATTTATTTATTCTGATTGAAGTAATTTTTGTCGATGTAAGAAGGATGTGTTATAGTTCACAACTAGTCGAATTCTCTTTCTGTTTCTACCACCAGCACAAGGACTGTGATATGAATGAATCAATGTGTGTAGGTTTGACATTATTCTTGTGCTCAATAAAAGTCGTAGAATAAAGATTTATTACTCCGATGTCAACATTTCACGTAACTCAACGTAATCTGCTTGTATTATGTGAACTATTTAGTTAGGGCTTCAACAATTTATTTTTCGCTACATCATGAGATCGTAGTTGATTGATAATGCACTTGTTTTTGAATCGATTGGTTGGGTAAATCCACTACCAGTCCTCACATGAAGAACTAAGCATCAGTAACAACTGAGTCAATAGATATGTATTTGGTGAACAAGGTTTGCATAAGTGCGATACTGTTTTGTAAATTGCCCTTTTTATAAACTAGAATTCCTGAATTTCGCCTTACGTTTTCACTGTACTTTTGCTGTAAAAAATTAACATGGCCAACAGACAAATCAAGGGCGGCAACGAAGCAAGTTGAGACAAAATTGTAGCACAGTCACTTATAGCAGACGTGAAAGTAACTGCAGAGATACTCCTCATAGTCATTAGCAAGATTTGGTTTGAAGAACTAGTACCAAGATATTGGAAAGAAGGACATCTCATTAAGAAACCGATAAAATGAGATCTCCGCAAGTGTGAGAACTACAGAGATATCACTATGTAGTCTAATTCAACACTACTGCGTGCCTGAGAAGACAGTCACCGTGATACGGAATTTGTATGATAGATTAAGTTGGAAAGTCATGAGCGGTAATCAGCTCCCAGACTTGTTCCTATTGAACGCCAAATTCAGAGTTGTTTACTTTCACTTCCTTTCTTTCCACTGATGGTCTAATGGATTATGGTGATCTTAACAACTGCAGAATAGCACGAGATAGAGTGGTCAGCTGGTATGCAGCTGGGAGATTCGGACTTCACAGGTTATCTGGCACTTCTGTCTCTCAATCAATAACTAATGCAGGAGAAGACGATCAGTGTAGCGGAATCCTCAGTAGAAGTGGGTCTCACGTACACAAAGGGAGAAGCAAGATCGTCAGATACAACACAATATGCACCAGCCAAATTACACTTAACAGAGAAGCTGTGGTAGATGTAGGAACCTTTACATATCTGGGCAACAACATTGATGAGCACAGCGGATCTGATACAGATGTGAAGGCGCGTCTAAGCGAAGCAAGAGCAGCATTTCTAAAACTGAAGAAGATCAGGAAGTCAAAGAAACTATCATTCAACAGCTAAGTCAGAATTTTCAATACATATGTCGAGGCACTTCTACTGCATGGAGCGGAAACCTGAAGAACTACGAAAGCCGTCATCCAGAATATACAAATACTTATTAAAAGATAAGCTGGAAGGGACACGCATTGAGAAAGCCACAAAACTGCATCACAAACAAGCTCTGACTTGGGATCCTCAAGGCCATAGGAAAACAGGAAGGCCAACGAACATATTACGATGAGAAATGTGGACATAATGTGAGAGGAATGAACAAAACTTGAACAGATCTAGAAAGAAAGGCCCAACACTGAGTAGGTTGGAGTAAGTAAGTAAGCTGAAGTACTATACTGTCAGCTCGATCGAGTAAATCAACCATCAGTTCTTACATGAAGTGTATCCATTCTTTGAGCTCTCTCAAATCCTAATCTGGATTTGTCAACACCTCTACCTTTGTCTTTCTAACCTTATTTCACTGAATTATACTTCTTGAATAATATCTTCGAACCCTATTCTTCTTCACTACCATTAATACCTCTACTATCTTTGTCACTATGAGATTTGATTTGACATCTGCGTCCTTGTGCTAATGTGGTATGGCAACATGAACTTATGTACATACGTACGAAGTTCTACGTTGCAACTGACTGACTGACTGACATGAAGAACTAAGTATCTGTCACAACTGAGCCAATAGACATTGTATTGCCCTTTTTTTCCGAACTGGAATTCCAGCATTGAACCTTAAGTTTTCACTGTACTTTTGCACTAACCTTTTGATTTTGTTCGATTTCAACTCACAAAGTATTCACTTTTTACGTTATCAACTGACTTTCGTGAACTGTTTTTTTCTAACATGAATATGTAACATTATTTGTTTCATCCCATGACCAGTTTATACCAAATAGTCTTATAGTTGTATTGATTAACTTTACTGCATACTTTATTTGTACAGGTCACAAGCGATTTCAAGTAAATTCATGAGTTCTGGTGATACTGATTTCTGTACTACACCGTTGAGTATGGAAGAAACAGAACAAAATAATTTCACATCTCATAAGATGGTTGATTTGAAAATGGAAAATTTATGTCAAAATGATTCTATCAAATCAAATGTTCAATCATTTGTACAATCTAAATCATGGAATAAACCTAGTGATTCTGATGAAGATATAGTGAACGGAAATTTAAATGAAATAACAACACGGAATCAATATAAATGTGTTGATCAACAGAATGACTGGCTACCTTATACTATTCCAACAATGAATAAGAATAATACTTGCGTTGATTCAATGACAAATACATCTGAAAGTCACAGTATTCAGGATTATACTAATGAAATTGAAACAAAACAGATGAAATTAATCGATGTTTCCAGTGTTTACATACAGGATGAATTGAATCATTGTGATGCTTGTACACAGGTAAGTAGCTGTGTAATGTAACATTGTCCATACAACTTGTACTTCGACCTCTTACGAACATTTTTACTCCGGTTTAAAGAGGACTTTTGAAAATTGTAAACATTGCGTAATTTTTTCGATGTGAAACGCGATTACGATTGATTCACCGTAATTTAAAAAAGATGTTGATTCAGAAACAGAACTAAGATTATGTTGAATAGCTTGAGCAAGAACTAATTCATTCTAAAATTGTATTCAACTCTAAAGTGCAAATAGTTTCAATGTGGTGAGAAGACTGCATTTTGTTAGCGTCTTCACCATTGGCATATTCTAAGACAACAGGTGAATCTCTTTGTTGAAAGCCAACTCCTGAGAAGTGAGACGATGAACATGTCGTCTCTAAAAGCATGTGGATGAAAAAGCGAGACAAGAATGGAGAAAGTGGACAATCCTGACGAACACCACTTGAAGTAATCGATTCAGATAACTGTTCCCCATAAGCTGTTACTAGACCAGTAGTGTTCGAGTAGAAACTATGTACAAGGTCAATATACTTTTTGAGTACTTCTGTCAATGATAGACGCTGTGAAGGAATCTGATGATCAACGGAGTCAAACACAGTCATAGTCAGTCAGTCAGATGCAACGTAGAACTTTGTACGTAAGCACATCAGTTCAGGTTCCCATACCACATCAGCACTGAGAAGCCATTGTCAATTCAAATCCAATAGTAGAAGAGGTAGTAAAGGTACTAGAAGTAATCGGAGAGGTTAGAATTAGAAGATATTATTCACGAAGTATGATTCAATGAGATAAGTTTAGAAAGTAAAAACTAGAGATGTTGAAGAATCCAGAAGATTAGGATTTGAGAGAACACAGAGAATAAATGCACCGGCGCCATTGCAAACGGTTTTGAGCCATGTCATTCAGGGTAACTAACCATCGATTATTATCATCTCGCGGACCCCAATCAGGTAGTCGACAACTACCGACATGGATAAGTCCACTAGTCAATGACTTAATGGATATCTGCCATGTTTTGGTTTGGTCGCCCCTAACTTTCTTCCAACCTACTCCTACACTACAAAACAAAGCTCGTCGAGGCAGTCGGTGGTTAGGCATACGTAACACATGACCAAACCACCTCAACTGATGAAGTTTCACCACTTCATCTATTGATCTGCCATCCTTGCCTAGTACTCGTTTCCTAACGACAGCATTGCTTACTCGGCTGTCCCACGATATACGAGCAATGCTTCTTAAACATCTATGATCGAATACTAGTAACCTACGAATATTTTCTTCTCTCACTGGCCATGTTTCACAGCCATAAAGTAAGACCGAGCGAACTACTGCGCAGTACACACGTCCTTTAGTCAGTTAACAGATATCTCGCCTACGCCATAAGTGACGCAGGTTGGCAAAAGCCAATCGAGCCTACTGTATCCGAGCTGAGATTTCGTCAGTCACCAGACCTTCAGCACTGATGAGACTCCCCAGATAAGTGAAGTGATCAACACGCTCGACTACTTCACTCCCTATCACTAGTTCAGGTGCCAATGCAACCCAGTCTTGAAGCAACATTTTGCATTTCGAAGGGGAAAACCGCATCCCGAACATGCTCGCATTGTTGCTTATGGTAGTCAGAAGACTCTGCATTTTGTCAGCGTCTTCACCGAATAGAACAATGTCATCGGCATATTCTAGATCAGTAAGTGATTTTCCTGGTAGAAAGTCAACCCCTGAAAAATCTGACGAGCCTAATGTTAACTCTAAGAGGATGTCTACAACAAAGTTAAACGAGAATGGACAGAGTGGACATCCCTGACGGACACCACATGATGTAGAGAATTCAGATGACAGTTCGCCATAAGCTCTCACCCGACCAGTGGTGTTCGAGTAGAGAGCTTGCATAAGGTTGTTGTATTTCTCCGGTACACCTTTCAATGACAGACACTGCCACAGAACCTCACGATCCACAGAGTCAATTACCGCCCTAAGGTCCAGGAACACGACTATTGTCGGACGTCTCAATATGTGTCTGTGTTCCAGGACCTGTCGTAGTGTGAAGATGTGGTCTATACAACCACGTCCAGGTCAGTCCAGGGGTCAGTCTATCAGGACCTGCAGCTCGCCCTCGCTTCAGATTTCCTAACGCTTTCTCAACGTCATTAAGACTAGGCGGACTTACGTCGACTTGCCATTCAGGATAGCTGGAGATCGTGGGTAACTGAAGAGTGGCTCGAGGCTAGTTGAAATGATCCCTAAAGTGTTCTGCTCATCGGTCCAGTCTCGCGGATTGAGAATAAATAATAATCCTATCATTTTCCGAGATTCCTAATACCAGTTTCTTTGATAAGTCGGAAAAGTTGTCGAGTGTTGCCTATCGCCGGTGCCTTTTCCATCGCTTTTGCTTTCGCCACCCACCACTGTTCTCGACCATTGAGTAAGCTTTTTGTCAGTCTACGTCTAAGCTGACTCCGCTCCTCGTCGCCCTCAGAGCCAGGCGGGATGAGTTCTCGAGCGTCCATTAGTTTGGTAGATGCGACTGAAATCCACGGCTTTATTCTAGCCTTATGGTTTACCTTACTAGCAGATATCACTGCTGTTTCCACAGCCTTTTTGATATGATTCCAAGCTGTCTCCGAATGGGAATCGCTTACATGGTTGCTTAACTCTGTTTCTAGTTTTTTCTGAAATATTTTATTAGTTTGATTATCAATAAGTAAAACCCTAAGCGGCTTTCTTACGGCGTTTTTCCTACGCAATGTAAGCCTCAAACAGATACGCGCTCGCACAAAGGCATGATCTGAATCTAAACATGTGCCCTAGCACGAGCGACAGTCCTCCATCGAACCCCTCCATCGGTTGCTGATGGCGATGTGATCTAGTTGAGTCCAACGTTGAGACGAGTTTGGAGGTCGCCAGGTCAAGAGATGCTTTTCCTTATGCCTGAAGTTAGTGTTTGCTAAGAATAGGTTGTTGTCTGAGCATACTTGCAGCAGACGGTCGCCACTGTCTGTTCTCTCAGCCGCGACGTGGAGATAAGAGAGGTATTAGGGGGTGTAGGAAGGATTTGATTTTGATCGATTTGGTCTCGTGTGCTGTTACGGATATGAGGGCGGTTGTCACTTCCCGGCTGCCCACACCGTGGAAGGTTGTTTCTTGAGGAACCTGAAAAGGAAGATAGATTAGTGTTAGTCTTGGAGACCTGGGTGCGTGACCGCAGAGCCCAAGGGACAACTTCTTGAGGCCGGTCACGCACGGTCTTTTTATGAAAGGTTTTTTTGAGGATTAGCTCCGTTCTTAAAGGCTCTTAGTGGGCACCCTTACCGCCGGAGACGGAAATCCGTGAGTTAGGGGAGGTGTGACATTTTTAGGGTCGACCTTTTCTAACTCCTTCCTTCCTTGTGAGAAGGCAGCATCGCTGCAGATGCTGGTTGTCCGAGTGAAACACCTTACTGCTGTCACACCCCTCTGCAGTAGTCAGCAGTACGACTTCGTCCTCAGACCTTGAGTAGCTGCTTTTAGTCTCATCGCTCTCCAATCTACCTGCCTGGCATGGTAGAACCTTCAGGAACATATGTTGCAGCCAGTATAGCTCAGTTGGGTGATGACGATAGGCAATCCCGACCACCACGTCAAGGTGGCGGCTACTGTCCGGCAAACACCGCCATAAGATCATGGAATATAACTATTGTGAGACATCTGAACATATGTCAGTGTTTGTGTTGCAGTTTTGTTATTTAAGCTGGATGTTTAGGTTATGGAGCTTTCAGTGTTATTCTGAACAACATAAACAGCCCAAACAGTCACAGTACATGACGAATTGTGCACCAATATCCTGGTCCGAAACCAGCCTGATTGTCTCGAGTCTGCTCTTCACGAAATGTAGTTGGCCATTGAAGAATTATTGGATTGAAGATGATATGTTTTTGGACACTTTATTAGTAAAACTAATTCTTGTATGATTATCACAGGAAGACTTTTGTTCTTTCGTATAAATTAGGACAGTCAGTGCTTTAAAATTCACAGAGATTAGCTACTTTTCGGCCTGTTGTTCTCCCTAGCTGTAGATTGCCTATAACGCTCTCAACCTCATTACGAGTTGGAGAATTTACATGAACTTGCCATTCACATTGACTAAATGTGTCGACTAACTGAAGTGTGGCCGAAGGCCGGTTGAACTGATCCCTAAAGTGTTCTGCCCATTGATCCAGTATTCTGGATTGAGAATGAATAATCGTTCCATCGTTTTCCGAGGTAGCCTCACTAAAAGTGCGATACCTACCATAACATCAAGTTTGTGTCGGCTATAGGTGATTAAAAGAAAATCAGTTGGAAAGATGAATTCGATCTTATATCGGTAGTCCAATAATGATAGGTCATTTGTGAAATTTGACTTAGAAGAGCATTTGTTCATGAGTTTCATTACCAGTTGTCACTTACAGGATAGTGTTTTTCTGAAAGCTGAGTACATGGTCTGGTTATTGGTTAGTAAGGTACAATGTCTCTTCATTGATGTTTGATTATAGGGATGTGAAGCTCAGTTTAATACTGGTGCTATAGTTTACTAGTGATTAAGAATCTCATCTTTTTTATTTGGTCCTAGATTGAAGTGATCAAGTTGGATAAGTTTGTGGAAGCCACAATAGATTCTGTTGATATGGAGGTTCAGATTGTAGTTGATAGTGAAGTGGAGAACCGTGAAGAAATGGTATGTTTCAGTGTATTACAAAATAAATTCTTGAAATTTTCTTCATCCTACTAATTTGCCAATTATAATTATTTGAAGTGAAACTTGTTAGCTTTGCAGTCAGTTCAGAATACTTCTGAACGTATCAATACCGGTTTCCGGTGAACACAGTGTAAAACACTCAATGTAGATATGTTAACATTGTGATATTGTAAATTTTTTGTTGTAACAGTTATTCAACTCAGCTGTTCCAGTTGAAAGTATTTCGAATGATAAAAGTTAAGTTTGGACCTGTGACCTGCAGTCATATCCTTTATTTATGTTGTATCACTGCCTTGAATCACTGAACATTGAAGTGAGGATGTATTTAGACAAAGTAAATGAATGTTACTACGATAACTCACCAATTCAGGTACTACATAGAACTTTGTACGTACATATATCAGTTCAAGTTGCTGTAACACGTTAACGTAGACAGATGGAATTTTCGGTTGAAACTCGATAGTGGTAGAAGGAGTAGCAGTAGTAGTAGCGGTGATGGAAAAGATTAAGGATTGAATATCTGATTCGAGAAGTATATCTCGATGAAATAATTTTAAGAATTGAAGGAAAGGGTTGTGAGGAATTCAAAAAATTAGGATTCAAGCGGAGACGAAGAATAGATGTTTCTGCGCTGTCACAATTTTGTACAGCCGGTGAATTGTTGATCCAGGAGTTTGATCAAGCTCTTCCAAAATAAGTTGTTCTAAATTAAACACAAATACAATTATGAAGATGACACCCCATGAATATATATACTAGTCGCAGTTGATCTTAATAGTGATATACATTCGAATAAGTCGTAATACATAAACTTTACGTGTATTGTTACTTCAAGTAAGAAATTGTTTTGTATCTTGCATTTAATGACGGAACTTAATTGACTTTAAATACGATCCAATCTCCTGGATTGAAAATGCACAATAATCCCCTGTTTTTGCGAAATAGCCTCGCTAACAGTGGGATTCCTCATCCCAGTTTTCTTGATAATTCTGAGCAATTGTCCACTGTTACTTCTCGTTGCTGCATTTTCAGTCTTTTGCTTTTGCCACCCCTGTACTGTGTGCTTTCACTGAGTTGGCTTTTTATCAGCCTGTGTGAAGTCTGCCACTTGCACTTATGATGTTCCGAATCAGATGTGATGGATTCTGAGCACATACCTGCAATTAGGTTATTGATGGATTTCATTGATATGTATTAATAACCAGTGTTTGATTAATCTTTAGTATACCTTATCTTTATGTTTTCAATGATCTAATTCAATGTGGATAGCATTCCGTTCGCAGTTATAATAGCTACTATTCATTGAATTTTCTGCATGTACGTCTTAGGAGTATAAATGTGTCTAAATGCAAAAGACGATTCAGTAATTCTTGTAAACTTCTATGTTTCTATTCATCTATTAGTTGTTCGTGTGCATGTGTTTGAGTTTCTACTATCATTATTTGTTTATTTTCATTTGTGCAGTTTTTGAAAAAAAAAACAGTGTGATTGTTCAACTGTTTGATTTTGTTCATTAATTGCTACTGATTTATAGGTCCCATTGTCTGAGCTATCATCGCTAGTAGGAGATTTGATGGATTCGGAAGATCTCAATAATACATTGCGTGAAGAAATTAGTAGTCTTACAAAACAACAAGTAAGTTATGAATATTCCTCTGTTTAATTTGTATTCAACATACTCTAATTTCATGTTATAAAGCTATTTACAAACCCAGCTACAAAGAATATATGTCTATACCAGAGAAAGTTTGTAGCCCAGGTGTATGGTTTCGATAGGGTTACGATGTCTAAGCTGTATGAGTTTTGTAGGGCTTACATTGTTTTTTTGAAATCATGAATCTATCAATCTTACAACACCATTTTATGTATGGATGGTTCAGTCAGAGCACTCAATTCGAAAGGATGTAACCTTCCGGACATGTACTTCTAGGATACATTCATTTGTGAAACTTAATGCTACACTAATACGTCATGTCTATAAGAGGAGTTCTATACTGTTTTTGTACTACCTGAAGGTTTCCTATTAATTGTGACCATCTTTTTGAGTTTCTGCTTAAACTTCATGTTGTTTAGTTGAATTATACGTAGAGTAATGTTGATTCTTAATCGGTTTTTTAACATTGTTGTTTACATGATCTTGTTTTACTGATTTTCTTCTCCAGATTGAATTACAACTTGATAATGACAATGTTCACAAAATTTTAATGGAACATGAAAATGATGCTACCCGAGTTAATGAAGAACTAATTAAAGCAGAGGTATTAAATGACATCTTAAAGAGATATTTGTTTTTGTTTTCATTTAGTTGTCTATAGGGTGCTATGTTTTAGTTTTATGCATCAGTGTTTGTTCTCATTTTATACATCGGCACCATTGTGTTTCTGTAGTGTAATTGATGGTTAACGAGTATTTATAGTATTCACTAGTTGTTTTTCCACCTGATACAGTGACAAAAATCTTATCTCATCGTTTACTGATTGAACGATAAGCTTAACAACAATCATTCTGACCGAATGAAGACATTGCTGATAGGTTACCAAAATCAAAATGGATATATGCTGATGTAAATTCCTATGCTTTAATGATTACTTTGTCACCGTTACAAAAAGTGATGTATCATATATGTAGCACCTGACCGTAGTTGTTACCTTGTCCTGGTGGTCGGGCTTGCCTATCGTGATGACCTACCCGAGCTATATTGGCTGCAACATATGTTCCTGCAGGTTCTACCATGTCAGATAGGTCGATTGGAGAACTTTAGGACTCAGAGCAGCAACTCAAGGTCTAATTTCGAAGTCGTGCTGCTGAATGAGAGGTGTGTGACAGCAGTAAGTTGTTTCTCTTGGACAACCAGCATCTGCAGCGATGCTGCCTTCTCACAAGGAAGGAAGGGTTATAAAAGGTCGACCCTAAAAATATCACACCTCACCCTACCTCACGGATTTCCGTCTCCGGTGGTAAGGCTTTTTAAACAAGAGCAGAGATAACGCTTCAGAAACTGCTCATAGAATGGCCGTGCGTGACCTCAAACTCTGCGGTCATGCTGCCAGGTCTCTAAGACCAACACTAATCTATCTTCCTTTTCAGGTCCCTCAAGAAACAACCTTCCACGGTGTGGGCAGTCGGGAAGTGACAACCGCCCTCATACCCGTACCGAATCGATCATAATCTAATCCTTCCTATAGATGTACATCATTACCTAAACAATATTACCACAGTTATTTCACAATAACTGTTCAATTATTCAAATAAATGATATTATATCCCAGATGGATAGATCAGATTTGTTCGACAGATAATATTTGATTGCTTTATAACGCAGAGTGTTTCCAATTCTGGAAGAGTGTTTCAATTCACAACGAAAATGCACAATTCCAGTCCGTACAAGCACTCCAATCAAAAGAGGAACAAATCAATATGGCTCTCGCCATGACTTAGTATCAGCTTAAACAACATAATGCAGTTCAGAAAGAAACACAGAAACTCAGTAAAGGCAGAAGAAATAGAAACTATAATGTAATACAAATATGATCATCTCAAAATAGAATCGAACAGTTTAACAAAATGTAGAACTGAATCAATAAGGACATATTATAGATGTATAAATGGAGGGATTTTCACAAACAAGGCCTTCGAAATGGATCTTTTACCTCTATCATCGTTTTTTTTCACGACTAACTCTTCTCACATTATTTTATCGTCCCGTACCGCTGATGGGAACCATTCGAGTTCCCGAAACGTTATTCCTTGTCTTCAGAAATCTCGTTCGTTATTACATGCCGGAGCTTTTAATTTACGGACATTGTTTCAAATAGGACAACAGGTTTCGTTAGCTAGGACTTTAGAATCTCGCGCCATCGATAAATGCTGCGTCCTCAAAACGCGCATACAGGATCCTAGTAAAATCAATAGTTTGATATCACCTTGTCAAAATAAAGAAGCAGCTTGATTTACTTTTTGTGTGTCCGGTAGTTCTGATCCTGCTTCCCGGGGTCTTGCTGGTGTAGGTTTAGCATTGAGTCGTAGAGCTGAACAATCTCTCCTAGACTGAATCCCTGTAGATAGTCGCCTGTGCGCTGTACGACTAAACGGAACAGTAGGGACTCGCCGTTACCTCTTCGTCTTATCTGCCTACGCTCTCACTGACAGCAGTTCAGACGACATGAAAGATAAGTTTTATAGAAACGTCTCCAAACTTGTCTAAAATGTTAAGCGCCCTGATAGAGTAGTAGTGACTGGTGACTTTACCACTCAGTTAGGTAGATTAGGTGAAAAGGAAGGACACCTGGGTGGATCTTATGGTTTCGCGGCTAATAGAACACATAATGGTGACCGTCTGTCGCAAATATGCTCAGATAACCGCCTATTTCTAACAAACACTAACGTTAGGCATAAGGAAAAGCATCTCTTGATATGGCTATCCCTAAAGTCGTCTCAGCGCTGGACCCAACTAAATCACACTGCCATCAACCACCGATGGAGGGGTTCCATAGAGGACTGTGCTCGTTCTGGGGCACATGTCTAGATTCAGATCATGCCCTAGTACTAGCACGTGTTTGTTCGTGACTTACCGGACCTAGGAAACACACCGCAACAATTTATAAGAAAGGGAAAAAGTATTCTTGTGACAATTACAGGAGAATCAGTCTAACTAATATAGTTTCTAAATTGTTAGCCTCAGTTATCCTTTGACGCCTAACTAGAGCTCGTGAAGAGCAGACTAGAGAAAACCAGTCTGGCTTTCGAGCTGTACGTGGCTGTATAGACCACATCTTCACACAACGACAGGTCCTGGAACACAGACACACATTTAGACGTCCGACAATAGTCGTGTTCCTGGACCTTAAGGCGGTAACTGACTCTGTGGATCGTGAGGTTCTGTGGTAGTGACTGTCACTGAAAGGTGTACCAGAGAAGTACATTAACCTTATGCAAGCTCTCTACTCGAACACCATTGGTCGGGTGAGAGCCTATGGCGAACTGTCATCTGAATTCTCTACATCATGTGGTGTCTGTCAGGGATGTCCACTCTCTCCATTCTTGTTTAATTTTGTCATAAACATGCTCCTTGATATAACATTATCTTCGTCTGAATTTTCAGGAGTAGACCTTCTACTAGACTTAGAATATGCCGATGACATAGTTCTATTTGATGAAGACGCTGACAAAATCCTGACTACCATAAGCAACAATGCAAGCATGTTCGGGATGCGGTTTTCCCCCTCGAAATGCAAAATGTTGCTTCAATATTGTGTCGCATCGGTACCTGGACTAATGGAGTGAAGTAGTTGAGCGTACTGACCGCTTCACTTATCTCGGGAGTCTTATCAGTGCCGACGGCCTGGTGACTGACGAAATCTCGGCACGGATACAGATGGCCCGATTGGCCTTTGCCATGTTGCGTCACTTATGGCGAAGGCGAGATATCTGGGACAACCGAGTATGCGATTCTGTTGTTAAGAAACGGCGCTAGGTAAGGATGGCAGGTCAAGTGATGAAGTATTAAAACTTCATCAGTTTATGTGGTTTGGACATGTGTTACGTAAGCCTAACCAGCGACTGCCTCGTCGAGCTATGTTTTGCGATGTAGGGATAGGTCGGACGAAAGCTAGGGGTGGCCAAACCAAAACATGGAACAAATCCTTGGAGTCATTGACAAGTGGTCTGAGTCATGTTGGTAGATGCAGACTACCTGGTTGGGGTCAGCGAGATGGAAGTAGCCGATGGTTAGAGACCTTGAATGGCATGGCTCAAAATCGTTTGCGATTGTGCAGATGCATCCACTCTTTTTATTCTCTCAAATTCTAATCTTCTGAATTCGTCATCACCTCTGCTTTTCTCTTTCAAACTTATCTCACCGAAACATACTTCTTGAATAATATTTTGGAATACAAATCTTCTCCATTACCATTAATTATTCTACTATCTCCACCAGTGGGATTTTAACTGAAAATTGCATCTCTGTGCCAATGTGGTATGGCAACTTGTATTGATGTACGTACCAAGTTCTACGTTGTAATTGACTGACTGACTATATGTAGCAATGAAATATCTCAATGTTTATTCAATTCTGTTCCAGTTTATATGTTCAGTTTTTTTCATCAATAAAATATTTCCATGAATAGAAAGTGTTATGTGGTAAGAATCGGACATCTCATTTAATATACATGTTCTGATATCTTTTTTGTCAAGAATTATGTGCTGTATTTCAGAGTTATTTTTGCTTCCAGTTATTAGGGAATCTAACCAGTTTACTATGTCAATTGATAAGTTCCTTTTCTCTAAATATTTTATTTATGTGTAGAATAAATGTAAAAGTCTTAGTAATCAACTGTTACGATGTAAAGATGTTATTGTAGAACAAGATGAAGACTTATTCCTTGTACGTGAAGATAAAGTAAGTAATTGGTTTATTTCATGTAGATTTCGTGTCATAAAACAATTACTCATGGACTAATTAATCATTGTTAACATATCGCTCTACATTATTGGGCCTTACTTGACACCGGTCTTCACTTAGAATGAATCTCTCAACTGTCCTTTATGCACGATCTTACAGTTTAATCCATCATGTGCATTCTGTATGATGTTGTTTATATTCTTATACATGCCATAATGTTATAACGTCTGTGCTATCGGTTGCTTTCTTGTAGTTCTGTAGTTCTCAAACTTGTATTATGTTGTATGTTGATAAAGTACCCTTCGGTCAATACTTTTTCGCCCACACAAATCTTTTCGAAGAGGGCGTGAAACAATTTTGCAGTTACTGTCGCGTCTGCTTTCAGTGCCTCAGCTGGCATGTTGTTTCGTTCTGCTGCTTTGCCGCGAACATTCCACGTGCCCATGTTCTTGGTTGCTCTGTTCGCCAGAAGAGGCTTCGGCCCTGTGACATCCGAAGTAACTCTGCTTTCATCATTAGGCGTCGTAACTCTTCGAATCGAAGACCCTCCACTCCCAGGGTAAAGTTTAAATAATGTTTTAAATATCTTTTCTGATCAGCGTATTTTTAGCAGGTTAGTTTTCTATCGAATGTGGTCTCTAACCCCACGCCCAACCCTCTTCCTTTGTCTGATCTTGGGACCGGCAGTAACCTGAGAAGGGTCCCATGTGTAGTCCCATGTTTAGTACCTCTAATTGTCCATCCACAGATTTTCGTACATTATGTGGTAATTTAAATTTGAATTCGCTGGATTCACAAGCAGTTAGAATAATGGTTTTTGGACTTGATCACGTTGAACTTTTCACAGACGGTGTGGTACTGTGGGATCCTTGTTTTGAACCGTTGTGGTGTGTGTATTGATAGCTGCGTAACAATTTTTGCAAGAATAAGGTTTCGAAACAAAATGATTGCATTATCATTGATAAGGGCATTTTTTGTATCGTGTTTGTCAGTATAGAATCTCGCTGCTGATTGTGTGAAATTTTTATAACAAAGTTCCTTAGTTACTTTTTCAATGAAATGAGTGATAATTCATTTAGTAGATTGTTTGAACAAAGGTTTTTCAACTGTATTTTTTCACTATGTATTGGTTCATTAATTAAAACGACAATTTAATCTTATCATCACTGATAAACATATTTTAAGCATTTAGTGTCCAGTTGTTCCAACTCCCATACCTTATTCTCTAAGATATTAAATACGCTTCGATTTGCAACAACGGATACGATTGTTAACATTTTTTTCCTCAACTTGACAGATCCCTGTTTCGCTTGAAAACCAAAACGTTGTATGTTATCATCTTGAGGATTTTCAAACTAACAACGAAGAAGATTATATTCGTCCAATGTGGGCCACATCAGCGCCTAAAAAAGAAGAGTCACCCAACTCAACATTTATATCATCGGAGAGTGATACACTTTGTGGAGCTGTTTCAGCTGAATTCAATGTAATTGTTGGTTTTAAATATTTTTTTTTCTAAGATATGTTGCATGTGAGATGTTATTGTTTATTTCTAAGGTAGTTTCGCTTTAATATTTATGTGTGGTACAACCGACTTACGTTATTGTATGAATTCGTAGGTTCATACGTCTGTGTAGTTATAAACCTGATAAACGTCGTACTTTGATCAGGTTTGCTGTACGCTTGCCTAACACGACCTGTTACTGTTAAGGATGTCATATCGTGCGCCCGTTCTCTTGTTTATGATAATACTATTTAATATGTCATGGTATGTGACACGTTACTTTACACCTGTGTTTCTTCCTATTTAGACATTATCTAATCGTCTGGAAGACGACAGTGCTCGCCTTGAAACAGCGACCGCAATCGCAAGCCCGCGTCAGTCTGTCTGTGATAGACCAGAGAGTTTCGCTTTTATTAAACCAAATGATAATGAAGAAACCACCGTAAAAGTAAAAGATGATGAATCTGGCCCTTCGATTATTGAAATGCGTAATTCCTATGGTGATTCGAAGGCAGCGGTAAATGAAGTGACTAAAGTATGGACATTTTTGATAAATTTTTTCATGTGAATACCATTACTGTGTGTGTATGATTCTTATTGCAGTCATTTGTTATTTTAACTTTGAATTGTAGATTATACATAATAATCCATGGATTAGTAAGGAGCAATCTAACGATGAAGATAATGATGAGATAATGAAACGTTTCATGAACCAACTATTAGTTGCATTAACAAAAGCTTTGGATACCGATGAGGAACCACGAGTTTCAGCAATCACTTCGTCAGCTGCCCAAACGTGTGATAAACTTCGCAGTAGGACAACATTATCAGTTCCCGATTTAGGAGTGGAGTTCCCGTCAGGGAGTGTTTTATGCCAAATCATACAACAATTGACAAAACGTATATCATCTTTTATGCGTCGTGAAGATGAGGTATTATTTCTGTTGCTATTCTGTATATTCATTTTTGTAGAATACATAGATTTGACGATTGACCAATTAGTTTATTTATTGTTTAATTTTCTATAGTTTCGTAAATTTCTGATTGAAGTTCTTCATGTGGAAGATGCTTCATTCAAATCTGAATTGAAGACTCATGTTATTCGTTCTGATGCTTTAATGCGGGAAAGTAAGTAGTTGATTTTGAATTTGAATAGTTAAGTGTTTAATAATCACTTGTTTAAATGTTGAAGACGAAATGAATGTTTTTAATTGTCATTATTCATATAATGTATTACTCAGCCAGTCAAAGAGCTGCAATGTGTAACTTGGTGCTGACATCCATCATTTAAGGTTTCCATACCACATTAGCACAGGGAGATGGAATTGTCAATTCGAATCCCATAGTGGTAGAGATAGTAGATGAACTACTGCTAATGGAGAAGATTAGGATTTGAAGAAAATATTCAAGAAGTATAGTTCAGTGAGATAAGTTTAGAAAGAGGTTTTGACGAATCCAGAAGATTAAGATTTGAGAGAATATAAGGAGTGGATGGACCTGCGCGATCGCAAACGATTTTGAGCCATGTCTCGCGGACCCCGATCAGGTAGCCTACATCTACCGACATGACTCAGTCCACTTGTTAGTGACTTCATGGATTTGTGCCATGTTTTGGTTTGGCCACCCCTAGCTTTCGTCCAACCTATTTCCACATCGCAAAACATAGCTCGTCGCGGCAGCCGCTGGTCAGGCATTCGTAACACATGTCCCAACCACCTCAACTGATGAAGTTTCACTACATCCTCAAATGACCTGCCATCCTTACCTAGAACCCGTTTCCAAAGGCAGCATTGCTTACTCAGTTTTCCTACGATACATGAGCAATGCTTCTAAGACATCTGCTATTGAATACTAGTAACCTATGAATATCTTCTACTCTTACAGGCCATGTTTCGCACCCGAATAGTAGAAAGGAGCGAACTGCTGCACAGTGCACTCGTCCTTTGGTTAGCGAACGGATATCTCGCCTGCGCCATAGATGACGCAAGTTGGCAAAAGCCAACCGAGCTTTCTGTATTCGTGCTGAGACTTCGTCAATCATCAGGCTATCAGCACTGATGAGACTCCCAAAATAAGTGAGGCGGTCGATACACTCAACTACTTCACTCCCTATCATTAGTTCAGGTGTCGATGCAAGCCAACCTTGAAGCCGTGTTTTGGTTTGGCTGCCTCCACTATCCTTCAAAGCTACCCCTACATTACAAAGCATCCGTCGTCGACGAGTTCGTGACGAGGGGCATCTGTCACAACCAACCCGTTTGATCATGACTCTTTAATTCGTCGTACAAAAGTATGATCTGACTCTGAACATGTACTCCAGAATGAGCGACAGTCTTCTATCGATCCTCTTCACTGCCGGCTGATAGTTATGGGGTTTTATGAAGTTCTGCGTTTAGTCAACTTTGGAGGTCGTCATGTCAAAAGATGTTTTTCCTCAAGTTCAAATTTGGTGCTTGCTCTACAAAACAGTTGGTATTATCTATTCGAACAACAGGTGTCTCAATCATGTTCATGCTGATGTTTGTCGGATTCTTTTACCCAAGATTAACCAATTGTCGTGCTGTGTACCTCACTGGTTGACGAACATTAGCAATGTAGAGATACTTGCGTTTTGATTCAGTGGTTGATGAGAAACATATTTTCTGCAAGCCCGAAATATCCCAGTACCTACCGATCAGTAACTGCGTCCAAACTACAGAATTGCGAGGTGTGTTCCGAATGCAGGTGAAACAGGATGATCACTCATCCTCACTGATTCTCATCGGTCACAAAGCTGATGTGAACATTTTGTGATGAGAATTGTATATTTGCATATGGTTTAATTTTGTCGTTACAGCTTTTTGAATTTCAAATGTCTATATTTTATGTACTAATTATCTTCACATTTGTAAAATACGTTTATTTATTATCTTATTTTTTAACGTCAGTTATTCGTTTGACTAAAGTTGTAAACTCATTGTCGGAAGAATTGAATCATGCAAATAATCGAACTAATGAAGCGCAAAATCAACTATGTTTTACAAAAGTTGATCTGGTTCATACAATGCATGAATTAAAATTAAAGAATGACGAAGTCGAACGTCAGCGAACTGATGTGGAACAGTTAAGGTTGGTACTTGACTATATTGTAGCTAAATGTGCTTTCCTTTGCTTCTCAATCTAGAATTGTGTTCACATCTGTTTTGTTCTAATAGTCATTGGCTAAACAAGTTTATGTCATTTCCTGTCAAAATTATTTTACCATTGATACGTCTTCCACTTGAACATTTGAGAATGATTCCCCAAATACTTCGTAGATGTCAAAAAATCTCCTACACTTGTATATAAAATGGCCGACAGGAATCACTGAGTTTGGAATATTCTGGAGCCTGACCGCAGGAAACACTGAGAATAACCATGGTCAGTTATAATTATCGGAGGCGATCAAAAGTCGTTTGTAGATCTAATCTATTGCTTTAAGAAGAAAGGTTAACAGAGCTCATTTTCCTATTAAAAGTATTTTCGCTTTCATGAAGATTGTAAAGCGAATTGGTCTGATAGCAAGATATTGCTATCTTCACTCACCACATGCTACCAACTGGCCTTAGCGATTCTACACCATCGTTTAGATATCTAATAATTATTGATTCGAGTATTGATATTATACTTCAAATGGTTAGTATTGTTTCAGTGTTATTGTATATCCTTTAGGCTGTCTATCTTTGTCAGCAGCGGTTTCACTTGATTATGAAATTTTCTAAAACCGTTTACGTCAGACACCATCCAACTGGTCACTAGTGTACCATCTGGTTTCTACTTGCTGTGATTATTAGTCTTACTCTATTTCTTTTGTCATGCAACGATTGTTTTGAGTAGAAGAGTACTGACATCTAGTTCATCTATTGAACCTGTTTTTCCACAGGCAATTCTAAGGTGGTCAATATTTTTCTGTGTATTTGTTATCCTGCACAATAACGGATTTCGGCTTTATTTGAGTCTCATGTCTATAAATGTTTATTTGTTTGCGTTTCTGGCTTTGATTTGATTTTGTAAAGCGTTGAGGTGTTGGTTACTTTGTTTTGAGTGTATCTTGTGTTTCTGATAAACTGGAATATGTTTATGTATTGTTCCTGCAAGGGTTTTTAAGCTTATGTTGAGTGAGTGAATTTTTGACTGGATCGCAGTTTAAATGTGTGTGGAGCATATCGTTCGTGAATCTCGAAGAAATTAGATTGCTAGTTCTCTACAAGTTGAATCAAACGGGTTCATTTTCGGAAAAGCAAACTTACATATCCGAATGAGACGTATTCTGTTTTTCTATTTACTTATGACTCACGGTTTTTGTAGTATCACACATAGTTTAAACGCACATACTTCGCACGATCAACTTTTATTTATACAGTAATTCTACTCAATTCACTTGAATTTTTTCATCTTTGTTATCCTGTCAACATTTCACCTACTGCTTATGATATTCTTAAAACTTTATCATAGTTATAAGCAACATAATAGTTTTCCTAGCATCATGAATTGTATTCCCTTGGTTTATTTTTCATGTTGGTTGTAATTCCTCAATATCTGAAATCAAATTTTCCTACCGACCTTTCTTATCTACAAAACGACATATTTTGAACGTATTTAAGCTCTGTGATCAATGCAAACGTCTGTCATTTGAACGTGTTTACAATATCATTCAATTCAGTAATTTAAGGAGATCCTTATCTCTCTATTCATTTGAATCATCCCTTATTATTCATTGAATAGTAGTAATAGTAAATTGCATGTTTCGGTGTAGAGATAAACCGTCACTATAACGAAACTAGATCTATAATGATCTAATTTTTTTGTTCATTTCACATCTGGTTTTGTGTTTGTCGTGCACAACAACAATTTTGATTATTTTACTTTCTCTCTCTATATATATCTCTCTATATCCACATACTTTTGTGTATTGTACAATTCCAGATTACAGCTGTGTGAGGAAAATGCACAAACAGAGAAATTTCGTTCGGAACTTGAAATGTTGCAGTCAGATAAAGTTCAAGTTGAACATGAATTGTCATCGTCAAATAATTTAATTCAAGTAAATCTGTTTTCTGTCCTATCAATTATTGAACTGCCTCATGTTGATACTACATTTTTGAACTAACATGGAAATGTATAAAACGGGAGATAATTTTACAAGTATTTTCATTAGGTTACATGTTCTAATTAACCAGTTGAGTGAAGGTTATTACATTAAAGATTCTCATTGCTAAAATTAGGACAACACATGTAAGCGAACTACATTGTTTTCAATTAGATCGTCTAAGCTTTTATCAATAGTTCAACATAGGAAATAGTAGGTCAAACTTTGATAATTAGACTTAAACTAATCATTACATAACAATAAAACCATTACGTAATAAGAAGAGTGTACATAATAAGATAGTGAAAAATATAAAGGGATAAAGGCAGAAAATTACAAACAAATACAGGATGTGAGAATAATGCTAATAATAACAAAAATAAAATAAAAATTGAAAATGTTTAAAACGTTCGTTAAGTTATATCCGGCCACGGAAGAGATAGGGATGTTGCGAATTTCTTCGGAATATATAATTTGGGAATGGATGTACGAATTCCTATGACTTCTGCTATGTGTAGGAGACGGGTTTGATCTCCTTTTGGGAAATGATTGATGTATAGGATAGATAACTTGAAATGATTCAGATTTACCTACATTATGACCACCATCAATCATATATGCCAAGATAGACCTACGTATTGTTTTTATGTGACCCTTATTAAGCATGGTGGAAGATGGCCATTCATTCTTTGGTTAAGTTGCCTGGTAGTGCGTCCGATATAGCAATCTCCACAGGAGCAGCTGAATGTGAAAATGCACAGTGAGGAAGCCAACTCGAGTAACTCATCCTTCGTTTGGGTAGACATGGCTGGTCGACTCAAGAAGGTGAACGCAAGTTTGGCTGCGTAGAATGTCCTACTAATTACTTTCGTTAATCTATCCTGCTATCCATCTCTTGCCCCACCCCCGTTGATTTGTAGTTTAATCAATAGAGGCTTCTTTCGAACGCTGGAAGTCTCCGACTTCTTTCAAGGAAATTCAGTGAAGTTGATTTTTTGATGTACACTGTTGAATTGTTTTTGGAGCTTTTCTTTATTGGTTCTGACCAAGCTTCTTCATAGTCTCATCAAGTGGTTCATTTTCTAGCTTTGCAAGGAAGAGACCAGTTTGAATTAAACCTAGAGAAGTACTCATGGCTATCCTATTTGTCTATAAAAAGTATAGTTAAATACAAAATGGATATTTAGCGTTCATCTTAAGAGCCTTTCTTTCAGGCTGTCCACAGAATAGCTAATGTTAATTTGTTTTTCCGATATCTGCTGGTATATAAACTCAATAGTCTTGATAAGTGGTACGTTGATCAACAAATATACGACATCCAGTGAGATCATATCTTTCATACGCAAATACATATTTTCCACTTTGTAAGTGAATTCGAAAATGTCTCTTACACTCATTTTTACAACTGATTTGTGCAAAGACTCTTGGATTTGCGCTAGCCAATTTGCAAATTTGTGGTACGAAGAATTGTACATATCTAGAACTGGAAGTAGAGAAAGACCCGATTTATGAACTTTGGTTTGTAAGTGAACTACGTCTCTCTCCGAACACTAAGTGTAACCATGGAGGACAAAAGATCGTTAAAAGCATTTGTTCAAGTAGTTTCTGAAACGGTCGGTACCAATTAGGAAATACTGCTATTCAATGGTAGTTTTAGCCTAATGATTTAAATGTTACCGACAGTCGTAATTATATTCTCATGGACTTTTTGAAAACATAGTTATATCCGAACGTCTTGAAGTATCGAAATTATTTGTGGCATTTCCTCCAGTTTCTTTGACTTGTTTTCAATTATACATTTGCAGGAATTAAAAATATCATTGACAAATGAAAAGAATCGGGCTGAATCATTGAAAATTGAATTGGATCAATTGCATGACCGAATTAAAAAGAACACTTATCAGTGAGTAGTATTTACACATTTGAAATCATTAATCAATCATCATTGTTAGACCACCATTAGAAACCTGGAAGCACTGGACGGCCGTTTCGTCCTAGTATGGGACTCCTCAGCAGTGCGCATCCACGACTCCTGCTCCTCGCAGTATTCGAACCCGGGACCTTTGGCATTGTAGGCGAACGCCTTACCATCGGACCACTGGGCTGGCATCCACCGGTGTTAATTTAGTTTGTTTTCACTCGAAATGTCTATATTTTTAGCCTTATCGTGTTCTATGTTGTCCAACACTAGACGTAATCTTTATATATGATACATTTATTAGAAGCCGATATTTCCGAATACTTATTTTTACTATGGATTTTATATCATTATTGTTATTATGAGTATTATTATTATTAGAGTAGTATTGTCATTAATAATAATCTTAACGATATTGTTATTACTATTATCATTGATATTGTTATTATTACTATTATTATGACAGTGTGCACTCATGTGTAGTAAGGAAGTTAAAAGTCTGTATTTGCTTATATTCATTACTTAGGTTCATTAACCAGAAAATAAAAATATTTCACGTTGTCGTCAGAAGTTAAACGAACACTTGGGTACGCCTTATAGCGTTCGATTTGGTTTTTGGCAACCGGTTGTATTCTGCCTAATGAAAACGACTATGAAATGCTTTGGTTTTCCACTATGAGTTTCCAATGTTCACCGTAGAAAACTGATCACTGCATTTGTTTTAGTGTATACCTGAAGTGTGTGACTTGTGACATTTGGGAGGATAAACGGATGTTGAAAACATTTCTGTTCTTCCACCAGAGTATCCTAAGATTTCTTGTATGCTGTCATTTAACAAGCTGCTTATTTAATTTAGTTAGTTCGCTGTCGTGAACTAACAATTGCTTTGCAGGAGTTTCATCCTAGCATGCAACTCCTCAGCAGTGTACTTGCACTACTTGGGGCTAAACCTGTGACCTATTAATTGCTGAGTACGAAGTTCCCGTGTCCTTGGTTTGATCGCCGGTAGGATCGTAGATCTTCACTTTTGAGTAATAGTTAAATACTAAAACAAAACAGCCGTGTAATGCTTCTTGGTTCTCTAATTTTTTTCTAATCCTACCTGGTTTGCTGATTTCTGCTCTCACTCTTCTTACTTTGTCAGCACTACACTGATGTCAAATAATATTGAAAACAATAATATTGATATTAGTAGTGAAAATGCAACTCGAACTGATGAAAATCGAGCACCTAATGGTCCTTTATCAGATCTCAATCTACGTGTCTATGAAGCTCTAAATCTTACTACTACTCGTTTAGCATCTAGTCGACATGACGCAATAAAGTTACTTAATCAAGTCAAGGAACTACAGGTAGTGTAAATAGTGTTCTTGTTGTTCTTCATTGTTGATATTTTTTATATCTTAAATGCGCTGTTTTTTTGTTATTTATTGTTTACATTGTGATTTCATGCAGACTGTTGTCAGAAATTTCCATATACATGACCGGTTTGTATATTTCGCTTCTCTGTCTCTACAATCGTTTTACCCCGCATCAATGAATATCAAAATGTGACTATATTTTGTAACAGTAAATGCGCTACATCCACAAAGAATTGATTGATTTTATTTTTTGTTGCTTTTTATTCAGGCTACTGCTCATGGTCTACGTTTAGATCTCTCTGAGGCAGAACTTCGTCTTATGCCTACGTTGGCATCTGTGTTGCCGAATATATCTAATCGACCTAATGTGGATAAAGCATCACAATCCTCTATGATTAAACGTTCTGCTTTACAGAGAAAATTGCGTGTTTATGAAAATCAATCAGAATTAATAAGAGCCAAGTTTGCGAAACTAAAAAGTGCTTGTGTAGATTTACTACCACGTATTTCAATGGATGGACGTGGTGACGATGATGATGTTGATGACCTACTAGCTGGGGATGTACTTGATCGGAATTCTAATTCGCATTCTTCAGGTGATAGTTTTGAAGGGAACATTTTCATTGGATCTGATATTGTGAATTCTTTACGTCGTCGAGCTGGACGTCATCGTATATATGCTGAACGCGATGAATACCCAGTGAAGAGGAATACTAATATTGGTGGGATGCTCAATAAGGGATCGTATAGATCTATTAGAACGACTGATAGACGATATCCTGTTACTCAAAACAGTTCAGTAGGTTCCTATTTTAACTGTAACCGAAATTTCGTTGACAGGTTATTTTACTTCAATCTGAATACTATTTTTAGCACTTGGAACTTATTTTCGGCATGAAGTTTAATCCATATGTTTTACACAAATGATACAAATCGATGATCAAATAAACTATTTTTTGATTTAAGAACATTAAATTATGTTGAACATAGTAATACGTTGCTATACTTGTGATAAATTAATAAGTCAACAACAGTATATGTTACGATAGATGCATGTGTTTTACGGCATTAATACTTGGTTATAAGTAAGCGATCAATTGAGGTTTTTGGGACGTGTGTTACTTATGTCCAACCGCTGATTGCCTCGATTAGCGATATTTAATGGTGTAGGAGTAGGTTGGAAATGAGCTACAGGCGGTCGAACAAAAACATGGCACAAATTCAAGAAGTCACTGATGAGTGGACTGAGTTATGTTATGGTTCGAGACCTTGAATGTCATGGCTCACAATCGCTTACAAAGGTGCGGGTGCATGCACTCTTTGTGTTCTCTGAAATTCTAATCTTCTGAATTTCTCATCACCTATTCCTCTCTCTTTCTAAATTTATTTCACTGAATTATACTTCTTGAATAATTTCATCGAACCATAATCTTCTCAATTATCACTAATACTTCTGCTATCTCTACCACTGTGGGATTTGAATTGAAAATTACATCTCTCTCTTAATATGGTTGGCAACCTGAACGTATTTACGTACGTATGAAGTTCTATGTTGTGACTTACTAACTGACTGACTATAAGTGAACGGTGAACTCCAGTTTTCTTAAGGGATTTTCTTGTAAAGTTCAATTGTTTGATTACATACTGGGATGTATTTTGTAACGGTCATTATTTACTATGCTTCACTTCCAAACGACTGATACTTATCTTTGATCAGAAGTGAAATCAATCCAACTAAATCTGATGGAGATCTGGTACAATTAACTGTATGGGGTCGTTCCACTTGTAAAATATTCCCGACGGAAGACCAGCATCTGCAGCGGTGTTCCCTTGTCCCTGTAAGCGGAACGGATTCGAAAAAGTCAACCCTAAAATGTCACGGTATGAGCTACCAGGAATTTACATTCGTCCTCAAATCCATGACAGCACATGAGACCAACCTGCTCAAGATCAAATCTTTGCTCCAATTCTTAACAGCTTTCTTGTCTCAACGACTAACCTCATCCAGGATCTGAATAGACACATTAATTTAACCACACCTTGTGAAAATAAACACTCGTCACGATTTATGCTTCATGTATCTGGAAAGCTCTCTACTGCTTCTCGTGACCTCTTTAGTGCTGGTATGGCTTTAAGTGAAACTGAAAGACTCCTGAGTTGGATCCTTTGGTTTCGCGGATCATCAAACAGAGAATGATGACTTTCTGATTCAGTTAAGCTCAGATAGCCGCTTATGAAATTCAAATGGACTTCAGTAATATCTACTGGACTGATGGAAAGAAGCTCAGAGAATCATCTCATTTGACTATGAACACCATGAAGAGAGAAAGCAGCTTAAACACACTGATAAAAACCCTACTCAATGGTCACAAACAGTTGTGGGAAGCGGAAGCGAAAGAGATTGACTTATCGGCAAAAATAACAATGGACAACGGTCCAAACTGATCAAGGAAACTGGGATGAGGAATCCAACTCTTAGAGAGACTAACTCGAAAACAGGGGGAACTTTTATTCATTCTCAATCCAGGAGATGGGATCAAAGGGGCAGAATACTTTTGAGAGCAGTTCAACTGACCGACAGCCACACTTCAGTCAGTCACCATCTCCAGTTAACCTGAATAGCAAGTTGATGTAAATCCTCCAAATACTTCAAACGATGTTCGTTTGGGTTGACCACTTTCTCCATTTTTGTTTAACTTTAGGAATCATTTGCTTTCTGTGACGACTTTTTCATCATCTGAATTTTCAGGAGGCGTTTCGCTTGAAGATTTATTACATGCCGATAGAATAGTTCGGTTTGAAGACGTTCATAAAACGCTGAGTCTTCTGAACACCTTGGAATGCGGAAATTTCCTCTCAGAATGCAAAAATGTCACTTGCATCGGCACCTAAACAAGTGATGGGTGGTGAAGTAGTTGAGTGTGTTTAGTCCTCGGCGTGTTCAGTGCTGATGGCCTGGTGTGACGAAAGTTCCTCACGATTGCAGGAGGCTCGACCGGCTTTTGCCGACCTGCCCTATTTATAGCGTAGGCAAAATATCGATCTGCTAACTAAAGGACAAATTTAACGTGAAGCAGTTCTCATTGTCTAATTTTCGGCCATAAAACATGGCCAGTAAGAAGAGAATATATTCGTAGGCTATCAGTATTCGGTCATAGGTGTCTTTGAAGCATTGCTCGTGTATTGTGGAACCATTGAGTAAGCAATTCTGGAGGTAGGAACAGAGTACTAGGTAAGAATGGTAAATCAGTGGATGAAGTAAAGGGTCGTTATCAGTTCAGGTGATTGGGATATGTGTTAACTTTTCCCCGAACAGCGACTATGCCTATGGTCTATGCTATCAAATAAAGGAGTAAGCTGGAAGGAAACTTTGGATGCTATGGCCTAAAATCGTTTGCAGTCACACAGATGCGTCCATTCTTCGTCTTCCTTCGAATTCTTCTTCTTCTTCTGAATTCAATTTGACATTTTCTTTCGATTCTTATATTTATTTTAATAGGATAAATTTCTCGAATCGGATATTTGACTGACTCAAAGTACCGTCCTATGAAAACTTTATCAGTTCATTATTAATTTTAAAAGTCTATTTACGGACAGTGTTATTTTCTATGATATTTATTGAAGTCGGTCATAATGTCCATTGCATGCTGGGTAATTTTTAAATAGTTTAATTACTTATTTGATACAATTTTCCATACATTGCATACACTTGTGTTTGTTAATAATTTATCAGGTTCAAACTACATGTACTAGTCATGTGAAAACTATGGGTCCATATGTAAATGTGACAAATTCAAATAGGTTGAATAATCCTGTCGAAACTTTACCTATTATGACAGCTAGTATGATATCGTCTTCTACATGTGTTCATGTTGATCCAACTGTGTCTGTGGAACGAGTAAGTATTCCAGTAGTCTCTGTAATGATAAATTTACTAATCTAATCATTCACGTGGATATTTTGCACAATTTTGTTTGAAATGTTAGATATATTTGTTTACTTGACTTGATGAAATGATTTAAAATCTAATTTCATTCAGATTTGTACAAGATAATTCATGATTCGTACTTCCTTTACTAGCATCGGCTAATAATTTACTGTTTGAAATGATTGTTTTACTTTCTTAGTGTGATGATGTTGCTAAATGTATACATGATCCGAATATGCTAGAGATCAGATAGATAATACAACTATTCAGTGAATTACTATTATTATCATTTTGTTAGTATTTTCTCTTTCTACATGGATGGAGGTAATGAATGATGAATGACAAGTACGATAACCATTGTATTCTTGTAGGTAATTGACTGCTTTTTGAATAAAGTGTATGAGATACATTTTGATTTTGTCTGATGTTCCAAAAAAATATGTTTTGAAATGATGGGAAATATTTGTGAATCAGAATGTGGATGTCAGAGGTGTTGATTCCAGCTCAGAGAACACTAGAAGTTCAACGAAGTGGTCAGATTACCTATTCTTGTTATTTACTTCATGTTTACAACTAAGTCAGTAATATCAATTTCTCTTTTTTTTTGTGCTACGATGAAGCTGTTATTCTTTGTTAAACTAATTGTCACTCCGTCATTGATAAATTCTTGTAATTTAAAGTTTCGTTTAAATATGTTTCAACTGGAATGTCTAAATCTACTATTGTTGTTATCAGATAATGACTTTTTCCATGTGCACATGATAAAGTTGATAAGTTTAGTGAGTTTTTGGACTACATCATCAGGTCGAATGAATTACTGTGTACGAATAGACACAAAATGTTTATTGTGATGATTATCAGTGGTAGCAACTGATTGGTGCATTCAATGTTCACTACTTTTCGGTTCGGTCTACGTACAACTGGATGGTTTAAATATAATGTAAATTGTATTTATTAATGATTCCAGTAAAGAGAGGTTTTTTTCTTGTTAATTTGTATCCTGTAAATAAATATAAAGTAGAGTGTTTTCATGGCAGTAGCTTTTGTTTGGTGTTTATTCAATTTTTTCTTTAACTCATGAATGTATACTCTTTACTTATATATTATGTGTTATGCAATTATGTCAAACACTAATAAAACACCAGTCAAGAGGTATATCATTTATGATTCCTCACTAAATTGTTAGCATTTTTCTTTGTTAGCTTAGTGTCTTCGTTCTTAGAGCTACCGCTGTTCGTTGTCTTATCTAAAACGTTATTTACTCCTTCTTTTGGGTAATTTTTAGTACTCAGAAGATGTGGAAGTTGAAAGTGCATCTCAAATCACCCCACAAATGAATTCTAAACATAACTCTCTACGAGCACGTTTAAACCCAGCTCGAAGTTTCCGTACATTAGGTCGTGTTTTTCGTAGGTGAGTCTGAGTATTGCTCTTATTCCAGTTAACAAGATATTTTGTTTTTCATCAACTTAATATGAGACACCGTTTTGAATTAATTATAAACATGAATCTTTCACTGAACATCCTATGGTTACTGAAGAACTTATAAAAACACTAATCCTAAGTAATACCATTGTTAAGTGATATGTGATGTTCTCGTTGATTTACTTCTGTTTATGTGCTACTGGTATTCTTCACAAATGATATACTTCATTTAATTTAAAATGTCCCCAAAACGTCAGCGGAAAATGGATGACCCTCATTAAAACTGCAAAGATTGATGCTCACTGACATTGCGTTTAAGAACAGAGAGTTTATCAGCTATCTGCTTCATTACGAAGGATTTGATTTCGACCAGATTGGTCTCTCGTGCTGTTACGGATATGAGACTTCATTACGAAACTGTATGTGGTTGGTTATCTGTCATTCAATAAACATTATTTATACCTGCTGAAAATGACAACTTGCATCAAATAAAATAGTAAACCGACATTTGGTTTGTGGATCATGCATTGTTACTGTTGTCGAAATTCGTTGAAATAAAACAGTTGATTGCACTTCTTTATGAAAATTACAGTATTGATGTGTAGTCTTTCACGATGACTCAATGACAGGTACATTAAGAAAAAAGTGACCGGCATAATCACGGATAAATAATTGACATTATTTAAACAAATTTTTGAAATAAATGCGATGTTCATGATATGGTTGAATTATATTGGTGTTTAATTTTCTGTTTCCGAATTTATTTTGAATTCTGTTGCACGTTTTTCATAAGATTATTACACTATATATTCTATTTCATATGGCTGTCACTCGGATAATTTCATTCATTCATTCCAGAATGAAGCGTGTAGTGAGTAAATGACGACGAATGGGTTTACTATCTGTTCAATCAATTCTCATCAATAATGCAGTTTTATATGGATACAACAACTCTAACTTCATATTATGTGTACCACCACTTCAGAAATAAGTCATGTAGTTCTCTTTCGGATAGTGCTAATCAAACGAATCGAATTTCTAACGAATCTTTACGAACGGCTTTGACAGAATTGCATGGGAAAAGGAATCCAATAACACATGTCAATCGATCTGTACTATATAATTTGACTACTTTCAATCGCAAGAAAATATTTTTCAAATAACCCAGGTTATAACCCCACGATATTACAATTTCAAACTTCATCCGGTGGCCAGCCATAGTGAATTGTTGGAAAAATCAACAAACTGTACCGGTTCCTTTCACATCGACAGAACAAGATTAATATTGCCGAATGCTGAAAAATGCATGACTGTACAGATGAGTCAAACTATTTTATGCTGCAAATAAATCACACCGTATCTAAATGCACTCAGTTATAGATTTACTTTACTAAAGAATAACAGCCATTCATGTTTATGAGAGTTATAAATACACATATATTTATAGTGGTGTCATTATTTTACGACTTTTGAAATTCTAAAGTTTTCTCTCCTTATTGTACGTCCATTCATTCATTCTATATTAATTAATATTTATCTCTTCCTATTCAATTGTACATTGAGTTCTTTTGAAAACTTTTCTTAATCTTTTTCTGTACTTAATTTATTCTTATTTATGCTTCAGTTTATCTATATTCATATTAGTAACTAAAATTAGTAGTATTCTCATCACCATGTGTAGTAAGTGATGTGTAATGACATTGAAACTAGCGTGACGCATTTAATATTCACTTTTCTTATCCTGTTTTTTTTTAAAAAAAAAAGATAAAAATTCATTCGACATTTATCTGTTTTCATGTATACTTAACTGTGTGATTACTAATTTATCATACAACTATATTTTACCCATTATACAAATGTTTGTGAATTATATATATAATATTGAAGATTCCCATTGTGAAAATTAGAACTATATACATATATATATAATCCTGTCTGCTCTCTCAGTGAGATATAAAGTATTCTATCATTCGATTGGCTAGCAAGTAAGTGAGATGAGACGAATCGACTTGAAAACTACTCGATTTATTCCCGTTTCGATTAACGAACAAAGACACATAAACAAACGCATATCCAACGAGATCACAACACACAAACTATTAGCGTTTCCAGTAAAACAAAACGGTCGACAGGGTCACGTTTCTGTTACAATAATTTTGTAATATATATAACAGCATGGCAGTGAATGATAGATCAAACGAAAGCTTAAGCTACTAGTATCTATCACACTTTCAAATAGGTACAACGATGTTCCTTTAAATAAGCTTCAGTCATTGGTCACTGTCTGTCTGTTCATTTCCCTCTTCATATCACAGATGTGTGTATTTTGTGCTTAAAAATGCGATAAATAACTCAATCCACTTACACCGAAAATGTGATATCCCAGATCTGGTGAATTAAAATAATTCCAAAGTTTTGCTCAACAAGTTTGCTTGAGCTTTTTCTAGATGAATGTCTATAAGTCGTTGAATGTCGTACGTGAATATTATTTGTATTTAGGAGGAGTTTACAATGCACCAAATAATCTTGAGCAGATCTGTTATTGTTTAAATGGCTTTTTGACAGTCTTCATTTTGACTGCCTTCCATAATCCCTTTTTTTATTTTATAATTTTATTGTGTTGCCTGAAGAGATTGCTCAATAGTTCGATCATTGCTTTCGTCTGCGTAATACCACATAAAATCGTTAGGCACATTAAACAACATGGCCTAGCCTAGCCTAGCCTAATCAACATGGAACCTGCATTGAGATGAATAGAAGCTAAGGTGATTTTGTTTGTCGAGTTGATTAAAATACTTTCAAGTAATGAATAGTTAGTTGACTGTAGACGACGATAAAAAAAACATGACTTCGTTTGTATTTCATCAACTGTTCTAAAACTGCATTATTCTAATTTCAAATCAATAAGTTTACCGAAACCCTGATCGCATCTAGTGCATTTCTATTCATAACAATACATTTAAGCTAGCTAGTCCAATAGAGAATAGCTACATGGCTGTCTGATTCAATTTTGTATACTCATCAATCGATTGTATTTGAGTTATGAGACTTCGATGCATTGATATCTCCTAAATATGCTTTGAAAAAAAATAATCATAAATGATGCATTATCTTTTGGCACAAACACAGAATTATTGTACGTGAATAGATTTCATTTTGTAGTTCTGTTATTTTATCAATTCATCACATTCTCTACAAACCAGATTTGATCTCTGTCAACTTTCAAGAGAAATCAATCATCTTGCAAGAAAATAACTCATTTACTTTGTCTTCGTGATTTATCAGACTTTATGGATCATATGTGGTTGCCGATTTACTGCGTGTTCTTAAGCTCAGTAATTAGCTCGTCCAGACAGTCGTTACTAAATGGCGTCTGACGGTTATAAATCAGAAGGTGAACTCGTAATGTTGAATACGTTTATTTGGGACACACCACAAAGCGAAGCGCAGAAGCAGCGAATAAGACGAGTGAAGCGACGTTAATCGGAGAAGGCTGTTGAACCAACTTCAAGAAACAAAGCATGACTAGGAATTTATAGTCAGAC